CATCGTATCCGTCAATTTATTTATGCTGACTATACTGCATAAAACATGTTCCACATCTATTGCAAGGTTTTTTGACAACTATGTGACTTCTTCTTCAAATTGTAGCCGAAAACGTACTTTTCCTTAAACAGGAAGTACACAGTGCGCAGATTTTGAATCTTGAATTCGAGCGTAGCAGTCAGTTGGTTAGAAAATTATTCGGCCATTGACAAAACTTTTTTAACCGAAAAATACCCTTTCTTTGAGTATAAAATTAAAAGCGTAATTTGCTATCAAGTAGGTACAAGCAATACTTTTTTCGTGCACATTTACCATAAAATATATTTGGATATATTAAGCCAGTCAAAATAAATGAAAAAAAAGGCATAATAATTGAATACCAGTTTTACAATAGATACGTTTTGCTAGAGGTCAGAACGAAGCTCTTTGAAAAGCCCGCAGCCTATCATGACTGAAATGACTTCAGAATAGACTACACAATAAATTATTATCACATCCTGAGTCAACTCCGATTACCGAAACAGTATCAATCTTTCGCATATGTCGGCATGTTGCGTGATTTTCGACGACTACTGTACTATACCTACACGTCTAGTAGTTTGTGTGGTTTTCTTACTCAGCAATACATGATACATGCGGAACGACTGGTCCCGCAGATCTGACAGTAATCTCCTTGGCAGTTCTACAAAGCCACTGCCAATGTCGCTTATCCAAATCACGGCAACAAACGCAATTTTTTTTCAAAAATCCACGGCTCTATTTATTAATGAAAATAACACGAGAGTATTAACCAGATTTATACAATTTTGCAAAAGCCTGTTGGTTCTAGAGTTCTTGTAGAGTGGACCTTACCGATCTCAATAGGGGGACACACGCATTCCTTTGGTCCTTCAGACTCAATCTGGAGGCCCACCAGCAACCGCACAGAGATATTTATGCACAACCTAGTTTTTTTCTACGTGCTCATGTTTAGAGAGGAGGATGATTCAGTACGGTGCTCTGGTATCCACAAAAATACCTGGAAAGGTCAATAATTACACTTAAATAGTTTTGAGCCATTATGATGGAAACGAAATCTGGTACATATTCTTTGCCGAAGAAGGGGTAATATTTTCTATGGATGAAAACCCTTCGCTAAATGTTGCGAAACTTTTCGCACGCAGTGAAAGTGCAGAGAAAAGCGTAGTACCCCGTAATTCAAGACGCGTTAGGAAACCACATAGTTGACGCTACGTTGACCGCTGATAGCTTCAATGCGTTCCTATCCAGAACGTTTAGTGTAAACTCGGTCGATATACTTCCGGGCTTGGACGGGTGCCGCCCTCGAAACCATAAATTTGACCGTCTAATACGTGACTAAAAACCATTCGCCATTTTCGTGAATCTCATAGTCCAGGACCAGATGCGATCCCAGTCAGCCTTCTAGAGGCTGAAGCGAAGGATTGTTTTCCGTCTTTTCTGTCTAAGATATTCAGTGTTGCTCTTGAAAGCGAAACCTCTCCTATGTTATGGAAGGAATCGCACATACTGCCTTTACCCAAGCATGGCCGACTGACGTCTTTTGAAGACTTTAGGTCAATGAATACCCTTCTCGCTGCCTCGAAGATCTTGGAGACCTTGATCAAAGAAAAAAAGTATGCGTCATTTGACGGTGAACAACCTACTTAATGCAGCTCAGCATGAATTTCTCAAAAAAAGGTCCTGTGACACCTGCCAGCTCTCCTTCTTCGATTTTGTACTACAATCTATAGACAGTGATTTTGCCTTTTATACAGTCTACTTCGATTCCAGTAAAACCTTCGATCGTGTTGACCATAATCTCGTCCTTCTGAATCTTGCCTCTTTCGTGATATGTAACAAGCTTCTGAATTTATTATCCTCCTATTTGGATGCTCGTACACAACTACTTAATATCTCGAGTGTCATCTTCATCCCCACACATGTGAGAAGTGGAGTTATTCAGAGTAGCCTACTTGGACCGCTCTTATTTTACCTTTTGTCAACGATGTTCCTGATTGCTTTCAGTATGTTAGACCCTTCATGTACGCTGACGATTCAAAAATCGCCCAACAATACGAACCGGCAGAACGCAATATCGTGCTCTAGCCCATAACAAAATTCCTTCGAACCTTTGCCCAGTGGTGATGTACATGGCGCCTCTCCCTTTTTGGCACAAATGTTACATACCGTACATTTTTTCAGTAAACGCCATAGAAATTTGGGACAAGATGTCCAGAAGTATTAAAACTCAGCAAAGCCATCCTTTGTCCAAATGAGCTGTCACTAGTTTTCTACATTCGAGACAATTTTCCCGAATTTTGGTTGCTGACGCGGCGTAATCTCACTTTCACTCTGTTGGCGTTCGTGGATTTTGAACCCTGCCGGGCCTCATGCTCAGGATAATCGTGCTGAATCGGCGGTCCGCATTGGAATAATTCTTTAGCCGACAGTGACCACTGTTCGCCGACAAAAATTTCGCTGGTGCGAAATCCCGAAACCCATGCACTCAAGAAACACTGTGTACCTGCGTTTATTTTTCTGCTAAACTGTCAACCTATTATAACTGTACACATCTTTCTTTGGTATTGTTCCTTTGAAGTCAAGTTTCGTCAATTGAAGCAAACGCCCCATTGTGCCCACTATTGAGCAATCAAAAAACTAAAACAAAACCAATACTGACTGCAAAAGTGGGAGTTTGTTTAGGTTTTTTCCTGTCTTCGAGGTTTTGAAAGGCACCAAAGAGGTGCTTTACCTATTAACATAATTTTTAAAATTGCCAGTAAACTGGCTATTAATACATGAATATTAAATGTGTAATTTTAAGAATCCGTACTAGAATGACCAATGAGGAGGATGATTCCTTTGAATATGTCCCGGATGAGCTACATCTTTCAAATGTTGACGAAAGTGACGACGTAGAACTGCTAAGTTCACTGGCAGTTATCTGTAAACAGGAAAACCTATTACTCCTGGATGATTTTAACGCTCCTGGCATCGATTGGATGAGGCCTGGAGTAAAGGCCGCAGCAGCACCTTTCAATTATCAACTACTTCAGTTTTATTTGGATGAATATCTCATTCAACACATAGAATTCACAACCCGACTGCGAGAA